AATTCAAAATATAGATTGGGAAGGGCTTATCTAGTGCAGGATTGTGTGTCAGCGTGTGCAAAAATGTGTATCTGAAATCTGGAGGGCAAGGATTTAAAGAGCTTAATTTGCATGCAGCATGGGTACCAGTGGGGCTTCTGTTTTAGGGGTGTAATTTATTCTAATGTATTCTTTCATGAGAATCATCAAAGCTGTGGAGAAATTAGTGAAATCACATCTACTAAATAAAAATCTAGGTCAGCTGTACCCGTCCTCACTTTTCCTTGGTAATCGCATGTACAAGCAGAATAATCCTATAAAATTGATGTTGGGCTGTGCGGGCTGTGAACGGCTCATTCCTAAGGTAACTGAGAGAAATGTCGTCCTTTCCAGGTAGTGAGTTATCATTCCCGGGTTAATTAAGAAGATTATGCTTTTCGGAAGTACGCGTCCTCAGACAGAAAACAGTTCTGCGATGTAGTGCTCCTCACAAAGGCGTGATTCAGACAGGAACATGCAAGCTTCGTGTCCTTCCTTATTTACAAAATGTCCATTGTCCCGTGGTGAAATAACAAGGGCAGAAAGCGATACGGGGGCTTGCTGATGAAGTTACAAAGTGCGCTGAAGTTTATTGTGTCTCCTAAACAAATAACGCTTTTTTCTTTTGCTGTCGGAAGTTCATTCTTTGCTCCACGGGCAGGAAAATATTGTAATGCTCTGCGGCCACGGCATCTAGGAAAAGCCGTGCAGGCACAATGTGTGAAATCAAGACCTCGGGCAGGCCTTCTTAAGGACAGATTAGGAAGGTCTGTTATCATTTTACCTCCTGGCATTAAAAGTATCTTTCTCTGTATCAATTAACTCTGCCACCCCCGTGCTCCTGCAAGCTCATTGCTTTGGTACCACTGCTCTTGCCGAATTGATGCCCTTATCAGTTTATTTCATGCTTCATTTCTTTCACAGCCTGGTTTCCTGAGCTGCTTCGGAAGATTATTCGCTGAATGGATTTTGTCACGCTTTTTAGTATTCATACTGGCTTAGAAATATTCAGGAGAAGGTGGTGGTGGGGGGGGCTTTCTTTTTGTTCTAAATGATTTGCTTTACTAGGAAAGAACACACCGATATTCCAGACTGAAATAATCCAGGATCAGTTCACTTTCCTTTTCAAAAGCAAGAATGGAGGTATTAAAACTCTTCTATTTTCTCTGCAGCAAGCTCAGCCTAACACAGACTGGCGCTTCTCTCAGACCCAGAGACCTGGAACCAGTGGGTAAGTGCCTCTTTCTCCTTTTACGTGTCTGGGGAGGGTTTCTTCCCTTTGCATGCCACTTCCAGGGCTGGAAAGTCCTTGGCTGGCAGCTCTGAGGTGGGTGTTCCCTGTCATTGGTACAATTGTCCAGGCAAAGAGTCAGAAACGGGGCTGTCCCTGTGCCAGCTCTGTGTGATGGTGATGTGACAGCCGTTGTTTGCAGTGGTGTGTCTGGTTTTGGGGTCTACAGCTCAAGGGGGGATGGTCAGGAACCGGAGGGAGCTCCAGGTGAAGTTGTGAGGTGGCTAAGGGACTGGAAAACATGCTTCACAGAGAAAGGCTGCTTCTCTAAAGCAGATTCTGAGCATCTAGACTAGATTCGGAGTCCAAAAATCTTGATTGCTCCGCCTGCATGGAGGCCACTGGAAATCACCGTGTGAGCCCCTTTAGCAGCCATAGAGCCACAAGCTCTGTGCTGCTGAAGCGTATTGCCTGCTCTGGCTTGAGCACCTCGTGCCAAACCGCTGCGTGAGACCCTGTGGCAGCCAGAAGTTGAGTGAGTGGATGAGCCCCGGGTCCCCCAAAGGCCCCTCTATGTCCCAGCCACATCTAACTCAGCAGGAGCAGCTCATGAAATGCCACTGCCTGTGCTTTCCCCTGGCTGAGTCAGGGTTGGGAGCCCCGGATCAAATTCCATTTGTTGGGGAGTTTAGTGGTTCATTGGTTCATCCAGGTGAGGACCCCTGCATGCTTCCCACTGAAGCTGGGCAACAGGACAGAGGAAAGCTAAAGAAGAAGAAATTAAACCCAACAGGTCAGGAGATGCACAGGAAGGAGGTGTCCTCAGGTCTGGTCTTGCTCTCAAAACCATGGCTGAGTTTTTGCCAATTTGTGTGTGATAAGCGGCCCTGGCAGCAGAGCGGAGAGCTGCCTCCCAGACGAGTACCTGTCTCCTGACTGTGCATTCTTTCGCTGCTGGCCCAACAGAGTTTGCTTTCTTGGTCCACGTTGAGAAAGTGTTGACAAGAAAATGTTGAGCATGTGCCCTTCACCGCTCCCGTCTTCCTCTCTGGTTCCTAGGCAGGGATCCTCTTCAGAGGGTGAGCTTCCTTGAGGACCATCAGGGTAAGAAGGACCTTAAACTGGGAGTCCACCTTCCTCTGTAAATACCCCAAGATTATTGTGCATGAGGAGACTGGCTCCAGGATAATTTATACGTGAAAAGATTATATCTCGGGGGGCATACCCAAGTATTACACCCTTGGAGCAACCAGGAGTAAATTTGGATGCTGTGCATCCTTGGCTGGCTGGGTCAGGCACTGTATCCCCGTGGAAAAGAGAGGAGCTTTGTGGTTCCTGGTGGCCGCTCGGGCAGCTCCCCTGAAGGCTGAAACAGTGCCGGAGGGAGCGTTGGGTCCTGGATTTCCATGTCGGAGCTTGCAGTTAAACATCTGCAGCAGCTGGATGTGTCTGAGTTGTTCCCTGGGCCTGGCTTGATATAATTTAGCTTAACAGAAAATTAAGAGGCTGCTATAGCTAACTTGTTGCAGCAATTAAATGTTGTCACTGGGCTCTTCTAGCTGACAAAGGCAAAACAGAGTGAGGGTTTGGTGTGAAGTGTGTAAAGCATTCCCGCTAGAAACTAGCTATGGCCTTTAGAACAAGGCTACCGCTGGGACAGTTTGCTCAGAGCTCTGTTGAATTCCCCATCACTGACAACATTTTAATCAGGAAAAATCTTCCTAACCATTTACGCTCTACTTCAAATGACAATTAACTGGAAAGCCCCGTTAATACAGATGAGCACCAGAGCAGCTGTAATAGTTTTGCTACAAGAAGTGAGTAAATGAGCCCCATCAGAGCAAGCTCTATTGCTCCCTTTTCTAGCATCAGTGCCAGAGCTCGTCGAGGCACAGCGCTGGTGCAGCACAGACCTACGTAACTCAGTGACAGGGACCTTTTCTCAGGTCATGGGCTACTGGCCCTCACCCCAGCCCCCAGGCTCTGCCTGTAGCTCTTTACAAGCTCCAGCCCCTTCCCAGTGCCTAAGCTGGAGCAGCAGCGCGTGGGGTGGGAAGAGAGAGGGCAGGAGGAAAGGCAGCCCCAGGCTCTGTTGGTGGGGAGCTGAACTACCACGACACGGTTCTGGTGCACGAGCCGTGATGTTACCCCCGATGATCGGTACCCTGGGTGCCCATGGTCCCTGGAACAGCCACCAGCGGCTTGTGTCAGTGCCGGCTGTGGCATAGGCTCCCATAGCACGAGCTGCCCAGGCTGAACCCCACGGGTTCAGAGAGGGGCTTTGCCCGAGCACAAACTGTTACTGAAATAACTTGGTGCAGTGCCGGCTGTGGCATAGGCTCCCATAGCACGGGCTGCCCAGGCTGAACCCCCCGGGTTCGGAGAGGGGCTTTGCCCGAGCACAAGCTGGTACTGAAATAACTTGGTAGATTTGAATTCACGCTGGTTTTCCCTGTGTGCAGATTCCACATTTGCAACAAAACAGCTCTTGCTGTAGGTTTTTTTTTTTTCCCCCTGTTTCTTTTATCCCTCTTTTAGTTAAATCAAGGAGCTGTTTTTATCCTAAACCTGTGTTACAGGATGGAAATAGAAAGTGCTGTTGTATGTTCAGTGCCCAGCCCTGACATCTCGCTGGCAAATCCTGGAGAGCAGTCTGCTCCCGTGCTCTTCCCGGTGTTGCGATCTCTGGTGTGGGAATTCCCCAGGCACCGACTTGTGGTGCAGGTATTACGGCGGGTGCAAGGGGAGCTGCCTGAGCTCTGCCCACCGTTGCTCTTTCCAATGTTTGCTCGTGTAGAACGGTGTCTCCTGCTGGCAGGGAAACCTCTCTAGCAGGCGTCAGCTCTCCAAGCGGCCGGGCAGCACAGGGCACCTCTTCGCTTGCTGGAAAGAAAAGGAAGGGATGTGCTCTTAACTGCATTTGCCTGACCCAAATTAAATAGCAATAAAGGCAAGGCAGCTTAGGGTAGCGGTTTGAATGGATCCTGGAGAGAGTCTGGCACTGACCCTAAGCCAGCAAGCAGGCTTAAACCCGTGGTGGGATTTCTCCTTTGCTGTCTTCATGGGAGCTGGGGAAGGGAACAATCCTGTCTTTTCTCAGCGTAGCCCTGCCCACTGGAACAAATCCCACGTGTCTCTGAGCACCCGGGACCAGGCAAAACTTCAGGCAAGCTCGATAAGGCAGGGACTGTCTCTCAGTCTTGTACATCGCTGCATTCAGAGCACCGTTACGGAACAACAAAGAGAATCTGTTCTTTGTTCTGGAACACAGGGGGGCTTTGGTGCACATGCTCAGGGAATAAGGGCTCAGCCAAGATCCTCTGAAAGTGTGGTAGGGAGTCAGACCTGAGTAGAGCGATTCTTAATGTTGTTTACACGAAGCAGGAGGAGAGATTGATTCATTTCATGATCTTTGTATTTTGCTTTCTTAAAAAAAAAGACAAAGAGCATCCATGCTGTCTCTGGGCAAGTGTGAATGAATACAGAATGGCACCGAGCAGCGGATGCCGTTCCCAGACAACTCAGATCTGTGGCTGTAGTGGAGATTTCAGCGACGAATCGTCCCAAGTGGATTGGACGTAAAGTCCATCAGTGTTGCAGGAACATCCCTGTGGGACCATCAGTGTGGGGGCTCCCTGCAGGGGGGCGTATGGGGGAGAATGCAGGGACTGGGGCTGGTACGAGGGACCCACCTTGTTGCTTTTGCACTAGTCGCCAAAGGAACAGAGACCTTGCCTGTGCCCTGCAGGTTCGTGGTGCTTGCCTGACCCCGGTAGCTCTTTGTCTTGATCTCTGTGTGATGGTTTACCCAGGAAAACACCGGGCTCAAGTCGGGATTTCCTTCCTGGGGGAGTGGGGAGAATTCTGTGTTGCTCAGGGGTGGGCACAGGCGGGTGAGCCATCCCGGGCTGGGAAGAGCCGGTGTGTCCTGGGCAGCTCGTGGGGGGAGTGGGGACCATCTCAGGTGGTCTGGGTGGGCTAGAAGGAGCTCCCAGGCAGGAGGCACCCCAGAGACCGTGGCGGGGGACTGGCAAGGAGGTGAGGAGCAGTGTGGGAATCACTGGTCACTCCGTGGAGGGAGGAGTAAAGCATGCAAAGGAAATACAGAGCGTCATTCCATGCCCCCCTTCCACTTATTATCTCTTAATCCTAAATCTCTCTACTGGTTTCCAACGCTGCTGCGAGCCAGGCTTTTCCACTTATTATCTCTTAATCCTAAATCTCTCTGTGCTACTGGTTTCCAACGCTGCTGCGAGCCAGGCTCGCAGGGTGACCGCAGCCAACAGTGATGTTCGCTTCACTTGCCTGTTAAACAGCACCAGGGCCGCCCTGCCTGACCCCGGCCATCATCACCCAGCACGTGCAGAGGGAGGAAGGAGAGTGCAGCAAAAGGGATTTGCAGCTGACAGCAGAGGTGCCTGTAGAATTGCTGGGAAAGGAGGGGTTTTTCATTCTTTGTTTTCATTTTCATGCATGAGCGCCAAGAGTGGGGCTTGCAGGACTAACGTCAGCCTGCCTGTGCGTGGTGGGGGACAGGGAGGGGAAAAAAGGTTCCAAGGGTAGTGCTTAAAGCTCTCAGGAGCGTTCTCGGTGTTCAGAGCGTGCAGGTACTGCCAAAGGGTGGCTGCAGCTTGGGGGGCTTCCAATGGGTGTTTGGAGTGCTCAGGAGGTCCCCAGCACCCCAGTGCATGAGGACTTGCTCCCGCCAAGGGGACCCCGTATGTGTGTGTGCCTGGGCGGGACGTCTCAGAGCACGCAGCGGCCGGGGCCAGAGGACAGAGGCAGAGGGAGACGCGGGCGTCCGAGGGCTTATGCAGCGCAGGGGCGGATACGCAGCAGAGAGACAACTGGCCACAGATGCAGGCTTCAGCACGTCCTTCCTAAAAAAAAAACCCCAACTTGCTAACCCAGCAGGCACAGGGGTGTTGTAACCCTGTAGGAATTTACGCTGCGAGATAGCGAGACGTGATAGTGGATATACTAGCAAGTGCTATAAAGCG